TTAGCTCCGTGTGACTTCTTCCTCTTCCCCAAGATGAAAATTCAGCTAAAGGGAAGGAGATTTGAGACAATAGAAGAGATTTAGGCAGAATCGCAGATGGTGCTTGACAGGCTGACAAAGAAAGATTTCCAGGGATGCTTCCAGGCTTGGCAGCGGCGCTGGGATCGTTGTGTTCACTCCCAGGGGAACTACTTCGAGGGTCATGGATGAATTTAATACCTGAGATACGTGTACGTGTTTTTATACGCGCAGTCTTGAAACTTTCCGATCGCACCTCGTATATGACATGGAGACACAGTAAATACGTATCTTAGGGGAGGGGACAACGATGATTACGTCCTGCAAGCCAATCATCACGGAAAGAATGACACGTGTCAGGGGACATCACACGCACGTGCAGTTTCAAACGAAAAAGCCAAATACAAAAATAAAAAGTCCTTACCTTCGTTGCAGCCAACTCTGCAACCAGAAGTCACGTGATGAACATTATCCGCGCTCACGTTGGCGACCCACTCGTTCGAAACACTCGAAGCAGACGCCATACTCTCGACGCAGGTAACAATTCTAGCACTAACGTCATTTTCCTGGCTGTCCATCACTTCGGGAGTGTCATCTACACAGCCACAAGCCACAACCTCCTCTTCAGTCAGCACACCAACGACGCTCGATGGACACTCGAGAACTCGATTCACGTCGTCCAAGTCAGCGGCAGTAACACTTATCGAATTAGTCACAACCTGGTCAACATTTTCTACGCGATTAATATCAAATTTCTTTGGTCCGTCTAAAATCTGATCCCGTTTCTTCATGCTATTAACGACAACACTGTCTTCACCCTGACCGACATTTTCCGTGACGACACCAGAAATATTTGGGATATCTACGACACATTCTGAATCGTCCCGGATGTGGTCAATGTCTTCTTTACTGATAGTAGACCTTCCCACGACTGATTCGCTGATAGACAAATTCTTCATACTGTTCACATGTGGGTTGATGTTTTCTACACAGACTGTACCATCACCGTTTGGGCGTTGAACCACAGAGACGATGTTTTCCTCGTGGTTACTAGGGGCACAATCCTTGATCTTCGGGGTGTCCTCCCGGAGCTTGGCATCAACTACACCCTGCTCCTGTTGGTGAGAGCAAGTCGTGGTAGTTGTCTCCTCGGAAGGCGCCATGATACGTCCCCTGCAAACAAAAATCTAGTTCAGACGGTGCATTTGCGAGGTCTATTTATTATTTAGTGTTCTGTCTGACGACAGGTCCATATGAACAGGATCCTTCCATCCTTTTCTCGGACTCAGACCTGCTCATATACGTTCTGGGCAGATGATCCAGAAGTGGTTTGCCATTGCCTTCTTCTGTGTGTGAATGGAGTAATTGTTGGGATGCCACGGAGGAAAACTCCGTGTTGCCTAGACCACGGCCTTGCCCAACACAAGTTATAAATTCGGGCCCCGCCGGGAATCGAACCCGAGACCCCAGGATTACAAGGCCAGCGTTCTAACCGCTAGACCACCTCATCTTAGACCTGTTCATATACGTTCTTGGCAGATGATCCAGAAGTGGTTTGCCATTGCCTTCTTCTGTGTGTGAATGGAGTAATTGTTGGGATGCCACGGAGGAAAACTCCGTGTTGCCTAGACCACGGCCTTGCCCAACACAAGTTATAAATTCGGGCCCCGCCGGGAATCGAACCCGAGACCCCAGGATTACAAGGCCAGCGTTCTAACCGCTAGACCACCGTGGCTCCTTCCTTTATATATAACGCTATAATTTGCTTCGGTTTCAAAACCTAAAAATTTACATGTTTTTTTCTCAATGCCTGTCTGTCCGACCACGTTTCACCTCAGAAAGATCAAATCTGACAGCGAGGTCAAAACATAAAATGGCCGCCGAATTGAATTTTGGTTCGTACCTGTCCAATATAACCCTTACTTTACATACAACTCAAAATGGGCATATTGAAAATGACTCGCCATAAAAGAGGGGTACATAAGATGACATACGGACATTGCGAGTTTAATATTCAGCGAAATACAAACAGCTTAAGAATCAGCAAATGATTTGTGAGGTTACTAACTCGTTATTCATCTGACGCTGCAGTCTGAATTTACATCTAGCGCCGTTAAATACGGACGGCTGAATCAGGTGAAAATGTCCTGCTACATTCGATGTTTGCGATGTCAAGAGAACTTCGTCATTTTCCGACTGCATCCGCGCACGTGTGTTTTAGCCAAAATTTGTGTACGTGCATGTGTACATTCGTCTCTTGCATCAAGGTCAGTAGGGGAACGTCCCGACTCCCACGTGGCTATCCAACTTCACGGGCACCAAGGAAGGGGGGGGGAGAGGAAAAGACACGCTCACAAGAGACGGCGAGAAACGACGTACGTCACATATCCACAATTGGCAAACAGCACAAGGCCATCAGGTCACGGGCTGGGTACAAGATATACACAAACATATGGAACCCGGGCTGAAGTATGGAAAACATGGCAAGGTCGCGTATATGAGCAGCGTGTCTGATGATGAGTAGTTATATATATTCTGACGTCAGTAGGTGGATTTGCTAAGCCTCTGTCCAGACTTATAACAAGAGATTTTTCTTGGCGTAAACTCTGGTTTATAATCGCAGACGAGTCGAAGTGGTTGTTTCATCAGTGGCGGTGCATCGCAGGGCTCCCTGGCCTATCACACACTTCAGGGACGACTGTCAGCTCTCAGTCCGGAAAATATGCCATCACAAATCCCACATGGGCACCCCTGATCCCAAGAACACCGAATAGGGGAGTCACGTGATAGACTTTTAAGCGGGGATACAAAAACACTCCAGAGAATCCGTCCAAGCCCGAGACCCTGAGTGACATTTCTGGGCTTTTATACCGGAGGGTTCGTCCTTCAACACCCAGGGCGGAAGACCACTCCGTGTCGGCTGTCCTCGACGGGTTATTCGATATACGAGGTGCGATCGGAAAGTTTCAAGACTGTGTCAATAGAGGGCGAACCGGATGTAGTACGAGCTTCTGCCGCTAGGGGGTGCGGCCTACATTCATAGTGAATCAGTGTGCCAGCCGGCATCATCGAATTAGCATTTGTTTCTTAGTTACGGGCGGTTTGGTAGTGCATTACACCGACCCTCCTGCGATTTCGGAATGGCGTGTGCATCAAATGTTGCCAAAGACTCGCCAAAACGGCTACGGAAACCTATGAAATCCTAAAGCAAGCATTTGGGGAGTCCGCAATGGGTAGTTCACAAACTTTTATGTGGCATTCATGTTTTAAAAATGGCCGAACCTCTGTCGATGAGGGCGAGCGTTCTGGACGACCATCTTCGAGCACAACGCCCGAAAATG